CAAGAGAAGAGGTGACTTTTGATGTGCACACGTGGAGAAGTGACTCATGCTGTGCACACTTAAAGAATCGAATCATGCTGTGCACACGTAGAGAAGTGAATAATTTAACCTATTAGTAGCTTGGTTTAGAAACATTTCAATATCAGATGGTTCCTTCTTTAAAGCAAGGACTCGCTGATGCACATTCCCTTAGCCTAACCATATCACGTCTGCATGGTAGAGTACTTCTCTGTAGTCGGAATCTATATCTTCAAGAAAAGCTCCCATTATGCTATAGTTAGGTCCTTTTGGACTTATATATTTGTCTATTTTGACAACAACCGATATTTCATGTTCTAAATGTAACACGTGGCTACTCAAGGCCTGCAAATGTATAATGCAATGTTATTTTGTTAGTTGCATTACGATAAAATTTTCAAGAAGCGCCACTGCTATCTTATTAATACCCGCCATTATACGGCATCATCCGTGTGTTTATGTAGCGTTATGTGTCTTTATCTGTATACCACTTGTGTTTATGTAGTTCTTAGTGTTTTATCTATATATTATCACTAGTTTTTAATGAAGTGCTTAGTGTTTTATCTATATAGTATCACTAGTTTTTATGAAGTGCTTAGTGTTTTATCTATATATCACACTTTTTAATGTATCGTTTGCTGACTGTATCTGTCCAAGGCCAATAAAATTGTGAATACATACTATTCATAGTCTTATGTACGGAAATGTGTCCAGCAAGTGGTCCATAATGTCCATTTAGAAGAACGAGTGTTACAACTTTCATCATTGTTTGCTTCATTTCGACAACATGGAAAGGTGTTGAGTTTTCCCTTGCATTTTTAAAAGCGTCATCCACTCTGAGGCCAAATTGGCCAGTGACTTACAGTTAATAAGACCTAATTTCAATTCAATCTGAGGCCACATTTACCAATTACTTGCATTTAATAAGATCTAATGCCAATCCAATCTGTGGCCACATTTTCAAGTGACTTACAGTTAATAAGAACTTGTCTTTGACATACTCCAAATAAGAATGACTTTTTCAGAAAAGTATGTATATTTAGTTAAATAAATATGTGCTTGATACAACTTGAATATTGAATGAAAAAAGGAAAGCTTCCATCTGCAGTTAGGGTTAACACATTCATATTTTGCACAATTTTTAATACCTTTAATAATTAATTTAAAGTTATTTAAATAATTCTTTAAAAAACAACAACAAAAAAGAAACGAACTTTAAAACAAAATGTTTCGAAATCCCCAAAAAATAATAAATAAGAATATCTTCGCTGATTCGTCGACCGTACAATCCCTTAATATTTGAACCCAATTATCATAACGCAAAAAGTATTTTACATTCTGTCTTTGATTTCAAGTTTATCTAATATCTTAAACTTTCGGCTGACTTCTTGAG